TGAAATGAATTGGAGCGGGGCTTATCGTATACGACAATTGCTTCGGAATACTTGCGTTCTTGAAATGGGCATTTGGAGTTGCGATAGAGTTAGATTGTAAATACACACACAAACACACGTCACCCCTGGCAACACTGGTGTGCATCTTTCCCGTTTGGTTAAAGATGCAGATACGCCCTGAGACATTGTTAGTTTTCAAGCTACCTCAAGGTTTTACCAATGCCAAGCGAGCTTTCGACTGCATGACCGTTTGTTAACGCGTTATTTTCGTCTCATTATAAATTATTAAGCATTATTAACGCATATTTTTATCTCATTTTCAGATGCACGAAAGACAAGAGGCTCACTCCAGAGGAGAAAGATTCATTAGCGGAATTGAACAAAAACATGCTGAAACGGAAGGCTCAATTGCATGAAATCGAACAAGGCTTACCGCAAAAGAATAGTTTCTATTTAAACATTATTCTTGGGGACGTCAATGTCTCAATCTTGAATAGAAGCGATAAGGTTCGTTACAAAGATGACTACGAAAAGTTTAAACTGATTTTGAACGTTATTGGCTTATTTTTGTCGTTCCTGAATATCGTTGTTAACTATAGGTAATGTTACATTGGTTTTTTTTTTATAATTAATCGCTCTATCATCATTTTGTCTTGTTATTTTAGAGCTCTGGAACTTGCATTTATGTTTCTCTTAGTTTGGTACTATTGCACGCTGACGATTAGGGAATCTATTTTGAAGGTAAGATGCAAACAATTATTGTTCAAATACACAGTAACATCATCGAAAACATTTCTATGTAAATGATGATGATGATGATGATGATGATGGTCCCACCTCTTATCCCTACCAAGGTTTGAGCTGGACGATTTATCTTTAAGATAATTAAATATGACATTTTAACCAGGATAACAAACAAAATCGAGTTACATGTAGAAATTCCCTCTAGGTTTACAGTTGCTTCTCAGCAAATGGGGAAAAGCTCAGACATCCGCCTCTTAGTTCTCCTTTTTGTCCTTTTTACAACACTTATGACAAGAGTTAATGAACAATCAACAAAGCGTCCTATTACACTCACTAGCAACCCCGCAATCTGAGGCTATCATAATTATCAGCAATGTCAGGAATGCTCACGAACCCCCAACATTTGCCAGAAAACTTACTACTAACCTCAAGGTATCTTCCAAATAAGCTTCAAAATTGCATTTTTTTAATCAAATTTTAAATTCAGTCCTCTATATCCGTAATACGCGCGAGGCTCAAACCTTTGTGGACTACATTTTTTTTTAAATCTACTACTATTAAATCAAATATTAAAAATCTATCATCACCATCGTGGCGAACACATTTTTTTCCGTGCTACAATAATTCGTTATGACAGCTATCCATATACAATAATCCGTTAAAAACTTCGTCAAGATACATAATTTATCAATTCAAAAGACAGCTTTAACGTGTGAAATGCAATGTCTCTTAAATTCTGTCAGTGTAGTTTAATGTGTCTGGACATCGAATTGAAAACATTTATTCATTTAAAATACAATGAATTTTGGGTGGACGTTGGCCAAATTTGGATTTTTCAGATATAATCCTAAATAGGACCTAGATTATTTAATACTCTAGTAACCTCAAGTCCGTGCTCTGTCACAATGTTTCATTGTGATCAATCAACACTCAAAGGGGTAAAATATAAAATTTGGGATGAATTTGAAAGAAAGGGAACTTGGAGTGTAGAGCGCACTGCCCACTGGACGATTCTGAAGCCTGACCAAGTGAGTGGGGTATGGGTTTATTTGATTGAACGTCATTTCCAATGTATATATTGATACATTCAAACCTTTGGCATTTGAGATAAGGCAGAGATAGAATGCGGAGGGCCCGCTTAGGGGGAGCGTAACCCATATGGTATAGTTTCCTTTTATTAAATAGTTAAGATAGGCTAGAAATGACAGGTTCATAGTGAGAAAATGGGGAGTACTACGAAAGGCCGAATCACAAAAGGCCGAATCACAGAAGGCCGAATCACAAAAGGCCGAAATACACAAAAGGCCGAATCACGAAAGGCCGAAAAAGCTCGGGAAAGCGACAAAGTGGACCGCGCGCACGCACTCGCACCGGTCCATTTTGTTGCTTTCCCGATTCGGGCTTTTGTTAATTTGTTTTTAATAAATTAAATTACATTACTAAAGTAAAGTTACAACAATTATTATCCTGCATCTTCAAAATAAAATATAATGGAAGCTACTTAATAGTCATTCGATTTCCGTAATGAAAATTAAAAAAAAATGGGTAGCTTTAGTTTTATGTTTGCTTGAATGTTTAACGACGATTTAATGCCAAGATGGCTTCGTTTTTTTGTGAATGCGGACAATTCAACAAGGCGGCTCAGTTGCAAGAGCAGAAGATGCTGAATGAGAGAGAAGGTGATAGTTAGCATTTATTTTCCGGATGTTTGAGTATTCAATGACGATGATGGCTTCGTTCAAGATGAAATTCAATGTGGGAGGTATTCTCAAATTGAAAATCGTCATTAGCAGCGATATTGCTCTTGGTCCGTTTTGCTGAACGTTCTAGTTACAAACATTCAACTGCTTGCGCAACTCGCTACCCAATCAGAATGTTGTGTATGCGTAAATAAACCTTCTCCCTTTATCGCATTTCTCATGTCCTTACCCTTCTCTTACCCACAGTTTACCACTTACAGGTTTTTCCCAAAAAGTCAGCAAGTGAGAACACATCTGTTGGATGTTTTAGTATTAAGCAATAATTGAATTATTTAAAATTGAATTTACAACACTGGTTGATACAGAACTGTTATACATTCACCACATATAGAAGACACTCACTAAATACTTACACTATTAGTACCTAAATGAACACTCAATACGAATAGAACACGAAGAGACAGTACATGAATTCCTAGGACAGATAACGAAACAATGAATTTAGTTAGCCAACCGATAGCGAACGAATAAAGGCAAAAAATATATACGCGCGCGCTTTACAAACCCGTACGAATAAAGTGTATTAAACTTTGGTCCTGAAATAAAGTGTTTGGAAGTGGAATTGGTTCAGTTCTATTGCATTTGTGGAAGAAAAGGAAACAAGAGGAGCAAAAGGATACCTAGGATATTTGGAAAGGATCGGAATTGGAAGGAAAAATAGTACGATTCTGGACAAACACACAACGTAGGATCTACGGTACATGACGGTGGCTACAAGGTGTATATTTGGAGCACGGAAAGGCAAACGGAGTATTCAGCTCAACCAACGAACCTAAATCCCTCAACATTGGTGCCGTGACCAGGATCAACGGTTGAGTAGGGAAGCGTCGGTGCTGAGGACAATTGGATCATTGTCGTATTGTTACGAGGACTTGGATGGCGCCAAGGCCATGTTTGCTGGCAGTTTGAGGAGACAATTGCGGTGAAATATTTCAACGGCAAGTTAATCTGCTCCCTTTACTTATACCACCCAACGGATCATCTTACACAATATTGTGGGGCTAACTGCAACTTTTGTGGTCGTGCGATTGGCGATATACAACGCGACGTAGCAACACTTCGACAATTGAATGCTACATTCTACACTGGAGTCAGGACGATTAGTGAATGATAAACATCGATTAGTCTTTGAAACTAAGCGCACTGTGGGGTATTCAAACAGTCGGGGCATTGAACGTCGATACGTGTGGATTAATCGAAGAACAACATCAAACTGATCTACGAATCGAAAGTTTGTTTTAATTTGGTCTGATCAACACCCAGGGCACAGTCAGATTGGTTCATCTGAGCATCGGTTGGATACGGCTGGACTCGAACTACACGTGAGGATCCGGATAACGGTTACCGAGCAAGGTATATACATTCGTATTGGGTATTGCTGGTTTCTGCTATATATATACTACCCATAATCGCATATCAGTCCCATCTTTGCTTGATTTCATATCCATATGGGACTGATATGCGATTATGGGCAGTATATATTATACAAGGCCTCTTGTTGACAGGCCTCAGGTGAGTGCCTGTCCAATCTATTACCCTTTTTGTTTGTTGTACTACTTGGATCTCTTTCACCAATTTCATATGCCGTTCCGATTCAAATTTCGGACGATTCAAATTTCGGACACTTTCATTTTTAATTAAATATTACATCCAGTTAGAAACAAAGTAATAATGTTAGATGATCGTGGAGGGCACTAGTCAAAAAAATTTAAAATTTACAAGACATGTGGATCATATTCGACCGAGATAATCAACTTTTAAAAGTGTCCGAAATTCGAGTTTAAGTGTCCGAAATTTGAATCGACACGGTACCTACGGAACGGAGACATCTCTACATGATATATTCGTCGGAGTGTTTACAACGAGATTAGTTACGAAAGGGATCATATGACGTCGGGCGGTGAAGACCAGAGCTGGTGAGGACCCATACACGGCAGATACGATCAAACCGTTGGCAAGGAAGGTTGACTTGGGCGATTGGCGGAAAGCGATTTTGCTGGATCGAGGAGTACGTTGAGTACTTCACATGCATATGCTTAAACGGTTTTGGGAAGCGTGAGGCGAGAATATAAATTAAAATCAAGGCCTATTGTTGACAGGCTACAGGTTAGTAGCTGTCCAACATTTTTTATTCTGGTTTGGTGGTGCTGCGTAAGATGTTTTTTTCCATTTCATTGATTGATTCGACGGAAACGGCATTGGATTTCCTTCTTCACGGGTAGGGATCATCCTTTGCAAATTTTGCAACGGTTATCATTGGAAAGTAACGAAGCAAAGGACCGTATATGGTTGCGGAGGGCTGATAGCTGGCGCATTTGAAATTTATACAAGGCCTGAATTCGACAAGTCACAGGTGAGTGACTGTCTATTGACTTTATAGTCCTATCAGCGGTACTTCCTGGGTCTTTTTTGTCTATCTTTTCCGGACCTTTGCTTGTGGAACGTTACTTATCTGATAGTGTGGGTATGGTTACAAAACTTAAGGAAAATCTTAAGATGCGCGAGCGCATTTTTGCTGCTTTGGATCGGCATAAGCAATTTTTGGATGCATATGATCCGGAAAGTAAACAAGGGCATGTTCAATCCAGGTTGGACAAGTTAGAGGCATCTTGGAAGGATTTTAACGATTTGCAGGACGAAATATCTGAGCTAGATGCGAAAGGCGAAGTAGAGGCGGAGACTAGTAAAGCATACGTCGACTTCGAAGAGCAATATTATGCGATTCGGGCTGCTTTTTTGAGTAAATTAGAACCTACTACACCAGCAGCAAATTTGGATAATACTCTTGGTCGGAATAATGCTTCATTGGGTGTGCACACAGGGGTTCGGCTTCCACAAATTTCATTACCAGAGTTTGACGGGGATTACAAGGGCTGGCTGTCTTTCAAATCTACGTTCGTGTCGCTGATTCACGACTCAAATGAACTCAGCGACGTGTAAAAATTTCATTATTTGAAGTCTGCACTGAAAGGGGAGGCAGCTAAACTGATCGAGTCTCTAACGATCACAAACGGAAACTACATAATAGCATGGGACACCATCACCAAGCGGTACTCGAATGAATATTTGCTGAAGAAGCGCCATCTTCAGGCATTGATGGAATTCCCGAGGATCGAGAAGGAGTCGGCTGGGCGAATACATAGACTGGTGAACGAGTTCGATCAACGGCTGAAGATTTTGAAGCAGCTGGGCGAAAAGACGGAGCACTGGGGAGCGATGATCATCCATTGGATGTGTTCAAAGCTGGATGCGCATACTCTGCAGCTATGGGAGGATCACGCTGCATCGTTACGGGAACCTACATTCGCGGTATTGGTGGACTTTCTGGAGAAAAGAACGAGGGTTTTGGAAGCTGTGTTATCCAACACCGGCTCTGCTCATCCGAAGGCGGCGGCTAAACGAGAGCGCGTGACTGTACACACGTCTACGGAGGGCGGAAAAAGTGATCCAACCTGCCAATGTTGTGGTGAATTGCATTATTTGGTACGGTGCGCAAAATTCAAGGGTTTTGGACTAAAAGAAAAGTTGGACTTCGTCAACGGAAAACAGCTATGCAGCAACTGCTTCAAAACGGGTGACTGGGTACGTGACTGCTCGTCAAAGTTTAGCTGCAAGACATGTGGGAAGAAGCACAACACTTTGATACATCCGGGGTTTCAACCTGGTAATGGAGGAGGCAGCAATGGCAAAAGCGACGCAGCTAGGACGCACGTTGCAGCAGACACAGCGGAAGAAGAACAAATCGAAGCAGCCGAAGGAGTCACAGTCGGATCATATAGCGTTGGAACGAAAAAGGAAATTTTGAGTTCCAAGGTGTTCCTTTCAACAGTGGTCGTGGCGATACGGGATCAAAAGGGTGGTACACAGCTAACCCGAGCGTTGCTGGATAATGGATCGCAGATCAATCTGATGTTTAAACGTCGAGCAATATGCGTTCTCATAACAGGAGTTGGACAGTCGGAATCGACGGCAAGACATGCAGTGAATACAACGGTTAAGTCCAGAGTAACAGATTTCTCTATTGAATTGGATTTCCTGGTTTTGCAGCGAGTGACACCTGAACTTCCTTCGGTTACGATTCCTATCAAGCATTGGAATATTCCTCATGACCTGCAGATGGCGGATCCACAATTCAACATAAGCGGCCGCATTGATTTGCTACTAGGAGCGGAACATTTCTTCAGTTTCCTGCGCGATAGAGAGGTGAAAAGAATGGTGTTGGGTCCAAAGCTGCCAATACTCGTGGATTCGGTATTCGGGTGGATTGTATCCGGACGTGATGAAAGTCTACAGCAGAAACAGTCAGTTCGATGTTGCACGGCAGTCACCCCTATCGAGAGAATGGAAGATCTATTGGAGAAGTTCTGGAGAGTAGAAAGCTGTGACGACCGACCTGCATGGTCAAAGGAGGAACAAGACTGCGAGGAGCATTTCAAGAGTACGCATTCCAGAGCAGAAGATGGCCGGTATATCGTGCAGCTGCCGAAACAAAATAGCTGGAACCGGATGTTGGGAGAATCACGAGCAACGGCGTTGGACAGGTACAAGAAATTGGAGAATCGGTTGGAACGGCACCCGGATATGAAGGAACCATACCACGCTTTCATGAAGGAGTACGTGGACATGCGGCACATGCGAAGGCTAACGACAACGGAACTGCAGGCAGAGGCCAACGGAGTAGGTCAACGGAAGGTGTTTTATTTGCCGCACCACGCGGTGATAAAAGAATCAAGCACAACTACAAAAGTGCGCGTCGTATTTGACGCATCGGCACGTACAGACAGCGGATACTCCCTCAACGATGTTCTTTTGAAGGGACCTGCAATTCAGGATGATCTGCTAAATCTCCTGATACGCTTCCGCAAGCATGAAGTGGCGCTTGTGGGAGATGTGGAAAAATGTATCGGCAGGTACTTCAGGACGCTAATGACACTCTTCGTCTACGGATACGCTTCACGAAGGATGATCCCATAGATGTTTACGAGTTACTGACCTAACGTATGGGCTTACACTGTCATCTTTTCTGGCAACCCGGGCACTACAACAGCTGCCTGAAGATGAAGGAGTTGAAGGTACTAAAGCTCGCCTAGCGCTACAAAAGGATTTTTACGTCGACGACTATATTGGAGGATCCGCAAATGTCGTTGCAACCATCGAGCTTAGAAAAAATTTGACATCCTTGATGGCCAAAGGAGGATTTCCAATCCGGAAATGGTGCTCGAATCAGCCTGAAGTCCTATCCGGTATTCCTGAGGACCAGTTGGGTACTGTTCTTACAATAACCTTTAAGTTGAATCCCGATGAAAAGGTTAAAACGCTAGGGATTACTTGGGAACCGAAAGCGGACCAGCTTAGGTTCTTATATAATGTTGGAGAGGAAGAAGGAGAATGGACCAGAAGGCGCATATTATCTGCAATAGCCAAACTATTCGATCCCCTAGGATTGATATCTCCCTTAGTGGTGACTGCAAAAATAATTATGCAAGAGCTGGCGCTACTGCAAACAGGATGGGATTCCCCAGTACCACCACAACTACAGCAAAAGTGGACGGATTTCCATCGCCGACTGTTCAAATTAGCAGAATTCAGCATACCCAGGTTCTCCTTCATCCTAGACTACGTCGACGTACAGCTCCACTGTTTTGCTGACGCCTCCGATCTTGCGTACGGAGCCTGCTTATATGTGCGTTCCATGGATCAACAGGGCAACGTACGCATTGAGCTTTTGCCCTCGAAATCTCGGGTCGCTCCCTTAAAACGATTGACGATCCCGAGATTAGAACTATGCGCAGCTAGAGAAGCTGCGCATCTATATCAGACAGTTATTGGGGCCCTCGCACTAGATAGAGTGCAGGCATTTTTCTGGTCGAACTCAACTGTTGTTGTTGTTGTTGCATTGGTTGAAAGCTCCGCCAAATTCGTGGAAAACTTTCATAGCAAACCGTGTTTCGACTATACAAACAACCACCTATGGACACCCATGGCTACATGTATCCGGTAAGGAGAATCCCGCAGATCTGGTTTCACGTGGAATGACCATTGAGGATTTCTTGGAAAGTGATCGTTGGAAGCACGGACCGTCATGGTTGAAGCTGGCGCCGAAAGAATGGCTGACGGAATGTCCTGGATCCGTACCTGACGAAGTAGATCTGGAACCCCGAGTCGTCGTTCAAGCAACCGCTGCCTCGAAAGAGCCCAACATCTTCTTCACTCTTCGATCTTCTTTTCTTCCGTTAGTCAGAATAGTCGCATTATGCTTACGGTTTGCTGCCAACTGCCGAAAATCCACCCAAAGAAACACTTCGTTATTTTTGAGTGTCCATGAGTTTATCTGCAAAAATGGCCCTCGTGCGGCTGGTTCAAGAAGAATGTCTCTTGGAAGAAATCAACTCCTTGAAAAGGCGCTATCAAGTTCCACATAAATCACCGCCCTAATAAACAAATACCATAAACGAACAATAACCCAAATAGTTGAACTTTTCCACAAATTGAACAACCGATGGGACAGCTTCCATCTACGCGAGTACGCTCAGCTCGGCCGTTTCTCATAACTGGCGTGGACTTTTGTGGACCCTTCTACTTAGACCCCCCTCACCGTCGAGCAGCCCCACCGAAATGTTACATTGCAGTTTTCATATGCTTTACGACCAAAGCGATAGACCTGGAACTAGTCATGGACCTGTCAACTGCTGGATTCTTATCTGCACTTCGCCGATTCATTGGACACCATGGACTTCCATCGCAGATCCATTCAGATAATGCTACAAATTTCCAAGGCTCTAAACACGAATTGTACGAGCTGTACAAGAGCCTCAACAGCAAAGCTGCCCAAGAAACTATTGGATCTGAAATGTCACAGCAAGGAATATCCTGGCATTTAATTCCACTCCGTGCCCCCAATTTCGGTGGATTGTGGGAGGCAGCAGTACGCTCCGCCAAAAGTTGCCTGAAAAAGGAAGTCGGTACGAACCAATTGAGTCATGAAAACTTCTGCACCCTGCTCGTACAAATATCGGCCGCCCTTAACTCTAGCCCCATTATCAGACGACCCTAGAGACCTCGATGCCCTAACACCAGCCCATTTTTTGATCGGGATTTTTATGAAAGCCCTCCCCGATCCCGATCTTACAGCCATACCCACTAACCGCTTAGCCCACTATCAGCAACGGCAGCAGATGTTCCAACGATACTGGCAGCGTTGGAGTCAAGAGTACATCACTGGACTTCAGGAAGCAAGTAAGAACCGTCTACCAAGCACCATCCGTGTAGGCAGCATCGTGATTCTTCGGGAGGACAACTTACCACCACTTCAATGGCCCCTAGCGAGGATAACCGAGGTTCACCCTGGCGCAGACGGAGTTATACGAGTGATGACAATCAAGACGTCTAAAGGGACCTACAGGCGTCCAGCAAACCGCATCTGCCCGTTACCCACCGAGGATTCTGCCGATATTAATTGAATTCATCGAATAGAGATTAAGCAAAATTTTTGAACGTTATCTAACATAAGCTAGGCTTGTTCAGGTATGTTGAAACTTAGTTTCAAGGAGGGCGGAAATGTTGGATGTTTTAGTATTAAGCAATAATTGAATTATTTAAAATTGAATTTACAACACTGGTTGATACAGAACTGTTATACATTCACCACATATACACGCAGAAAAATATATTTTAAACGTAATAATATTTGACGTAAAATCAATAAGAATTTCATTTTGTTTTGGCTGCAAAAAGAAATCATTATTGTTTCAACAATCCAGTATTTTTGTTCCTCAAAACCCATGGATTGTTAAATCAAAAAGAAAATCTTTTCGAATTTACAAGAGCTTTCATGGTTTGACGTAAGCTGTCAAATTTTCTTTTTGATTTAACAATCCATGGGTTTTGAGGAACAAAAATACTGGATTGTT